TAGGAGCAACCGGCTAGTCAGGGCCATTATCTCCAGTAATTGAGGGTTTTTTTTGGGGGGTGAAGGAGGATAAAATACAGGACCAGGTGGAAGACATATACTGTCTGCTTGGAAGATAAGTGACTGTAACATACATGTGCATACAATGAAGTGGGATGAGAAGTCATGGAGATCATGTGAGGTGGCATGGAGGGGAGGAGGAGGGGGAGGAGGAGGAAGAGGAGGAGGAGGAGGAGGAGGAGGAGGAAGAGGAGGAGGAGAACCATCTACACCTCTGGGAAAGCCTTCAGCTCGATTCTTCAGAACAGAAACTGAAGAGTGAAGTGGAGCCCGATGTAGGCAGCCCATCAGAGAGATGGGGAACGGAGGACTGAGGTACTGAGGGCAGGGTTTCTAAGGAACTATGCACATGCACGGTAGAAGCAGTCTTAGTATCAAGACCCTTGTTTATGCACATGAGGCGCCAGAAGACTCACTGGGCTGCAGGGGTGGGGCTTTGGAAGGCTCACTGGGCTACAGGGGTGGGGCTTTGGAAGGCTCACTGGGCTACAGGGGTGGGGCTTTGGAAGGCTCACTGGGCTACAGGGGTGGGGCTTTGGAAGGCTCACTGGGCTGCAGGGGTGGGGTGGTAACAAAATGAATGGGACCTATAATTAATTGCCCTGATTGGTTGGTGATTGGTTCTTCATCCCTCTAACTTCCCCTGGCATGGCTCAAGTTTCCATTCCAGATTGCCCCTGCGCTTTCCATCTCCCCTTTGGTTCCATCCAGGGTTGGTGGTCTTGGCACCAAAGAGAAAAGTGAGAAATAGAGAAAGTTCCATTTCGTAGTGACATTCCTAAAGGACTGCACAAACGCTACAGCTTCCATTATTAGCAATTATAGTCCTTGTAGCCAATGAGCCACCCTCAGTTAGAACACAAACGAACCAGAGGGAGCTGCTCATAGCTTATTAGGTGCTAGCTTATTAAGTAACTTATTAAATATTAAAGTTATTGCATATTAACCTTATCAGTAGCTTATTAAGTAGCTTATTAAACATGATACAGGGCAGTACCATGAAGTGAATAAAAGTTACAGTGATTATACTGAAGAGCTAATGATACAGAGACACTCATAGTAGATCAGGCCCTGAGCTAAGCATGCTTTAAGTGTTCTCTCCTTTAATTCAGACAAACAATGCTGCCACTGTCTCCTTTGCAAACTAGAGAGCTGAAGCCTGAATGCAAAGCTGCTTGCCTTCAAAATTGCATATCAAAGACCAAAGGGGCGTGGAATCTGGACTCTGTTATAGGTGAGCACCTCCCCCCATGTGTGTACACATACATGTACACACAGACATGATCAGCGTAGGGATTGCTTGCTGGGTTGGAGCAAAAAGGTTTAGTAACGAAACGCGGCTGCAAAATGTTGAATAGAACACAAGTTGAGTTCTAGGGTAACTCCTAGAAGAAGATGCTGGAAGAAGGATGCTTTATAAAAAAAGGTCTCTGAATGAAAACTGAACTAAGATGCCCTTCAAGTGTGTGTGTCTGTGTGTGTGTGTGTGTGTGTGTGTGTGTGAGAGAGAGAGAGAGAGAGACAGAGACAGAGACAGAGACAGAGACAGAGACAGACAGAGACTCTTTTAAAACACTCTAATGAAATGGAATTGCCCTCTGCATAGCAGGACACCTCTGGCTTTATTGACTCCCGTTGCTTAGCACTGATAGCTCCGGCTCCCTCTTTTTCCCACCAACGCAATGCTCATCTTATTGCACGAGTATGGCTTATTGTATCCATGTGGTTTTTGAGGCACGTTTATTTGCTATAATTTTTGGTTGTTAAGAATAATGTGACCATGAACACTCTTACCGTTAAATTCCATGTGCACATGCCAGAGTTTCTCTGCGTAGTAATTGCAATGAAACTTCAGGACACAGGTAGGGGGCTGAGCAGGCCCATGTTCAGCTTCACTAGACCATGCCAGATTATCCCCAGAGCAGTTGGTTCCATCTGCTATGCACTGGCACTGTAGGTATGAGAGCTCCCTTCCCAGCCTCCTCCCCAGTGCTCAGGACTATACAGTCTTCTGCCATTTTGGGTCTTGGCATTTCTCCAGTCATGAGTGAGATGCACCATCTTTTCTAGCACCTGTAGGACTCTCATGTAGCTTCTTTTGTCAAACGAAATTTTGAGTTTTCGTTTTTTCTAATGAAGTGTGTGTGTGTGTGTGTGTGTGTGTGCGCATGCGTGCTACTGGATAATGTAGGGCCTGGTACATTCTAGATAAGTGCTTTCCCACTGAGCTACGCTCCACCTCCATTGAAGTCTTTGAGGCAGGGTTGACCTGGAACTTATCCTCTAGCACAGGCCTTGAGCTTTCTTTCACATATTTGTTCATATCAGGTATATATACTAATGCACATGTGTGCGCTTGCTTGTTTGCGGACACACATGGAGAGCATTGAGTGTGAATGTATGTGTGCATCCCTGTGAGGTCTGCTCCACACTGACTGCCTTCCTCCATTATTCCCAGACTTGTACTTTAAGGCAGAGTTTCTTGTTGAAGCCAGAGCTTGCAGTTTAGGCTAAATTGAACAAGACATCTTACCCAAGGAGTCCTGTTCCTGCCTGAGTGCTGGGATCACAGACAGTCCACCACACCCATCCTGCTCTTATGTGACATCTGGGAATGCAAACTCCCATCTTCCAGCTTCATGGTAAGGGCTTTACCCACTGATCCATCTCTCCAGCTGTAGGCCTTGAACTTGTGATTCTCCTGCTTCAGCTTTCTTAATTTTTACTAAAACCAAACTTACTACTCTTTTTGTTTGTGTTTTCAGTGTCTTGTTTAAGGGTTCCTGACTTGTGGTGACATTCATGCAACTTCTGCGTACATGAGGTTTCTGAGTTTGCTGGCATCTTGACAGTGTCATGATTGTATTGGTCTATCTCCGTGTTAAAACCACATCATGTTACCCACTACAACTTCGAAAATGCATCCACCGGGCAGGTCCTATAATGCATGTTCAGCTATTTATTTCCTCCCCCTCCCCCCTCAACCCGTCTCCCCCTCCCTGTTCTTCTTATCCCTCTTGTGGATGGGATATCAAAGCTGTTTGTACACCATGGTTCAATATATAGTTTAGCTCCATCTCATTAATTTTCATAGACAACTCGGTTTGGATTTCCATTCCTGTGCCACCCGAGTCTCTAGATGTCTGTGATATTGCCTCCTGGCTTCACATTTGGTAGTAATGTAAAACACGAGTCTGAATGGTTTCTCAGTGCTGACTTCAGTGCTCAGAAGAAGATAGTCAGTCCACTCTTGGGTTCAACAAGAGTGTCAGGAGACCTGAACTAAGAAAATTCTATTCAGTGCCATCTTTAATGGTCCCCACAGAAATCCCGGTGTCAGCAAACCCCTCCTCTACCTGCCACGCCTGCAGGCTTGTTCCAAGGGTAACCCACCCCCACCGTAGCTCAAACAGATCCTCTTCTTACTCATTCTGCCCCCTTTCCAACTTCTTCAGTCACTGCATGAGCTTTTGCAACTGTCTGGTTCCCAGCAGAAGAAAATCGGAAACGGCCCTAGGCTTTGGGTCACTGTCCTTTCCTCCTTCACCGTTTATCAGACTATCAATCCTATGCCAGAGACTCCTGACTCAAACCGCCACTGCTCTCCCACTCCTGCTGTTCCCTGACGTTCTGTACAGTTTCCCAGCTTCCACTCCTCCAGATGATGCCTCCCAGACTCCCCAGCCCGACCTAGTCCTTTAGCTCCTGATCCCGTGGTGTCGGCAGAAGGGAGGGCAGTGGGAGCCCTCTGTCTTCCGAGAGAGGAATGGCTTGCCGTCTCACTGGTTAGAATAGTGCTAGAACTTTGCTGGCCTACTCTTTACCACACCTGGCCAATGTCCCACCACTGTTCTTAGCATCACTGGAGATGAGATGACAGGATCTTCCCCAGAGGGGCGCTACATTGTTGCGATGAAACGCTACTTCCTGAGATATTCAGCAGCCCCTGCGCTTGGTGAGCATTTGGTTAGTATAACAATTATTGGTAATGATATTTTCATTGGTTTCCTATTTCTTGTTTGGCTCCTATCTTGGTGTGCGCATCCTTCCATGCCTGTCCCCATCATCCATTTCACAATCTCCCCTTCTACCGTCTTGAATGCAGCTCTGCCAAACTCTGCACTGTTCTGGATTCTCTTTACAAAGGCTTTTTACTTGGTCTCAAATGCCTTCTGGTCTTCCCTCCGCTCATCCTTGAAGAGCCATCTCACAGTGTTTCCTGTGACGCCTTCAAATTGACCACGAAAAAGCAAAAGATGGTTTCCCTTTCCATGTCCCTCCTCTCGTGTCTGCTGTGACTCTACCCTGCTGCATCTCCTAAAAGGACTCAGCTTTATATGTAGTTGTGTGCAAATTAGGTTGCTGCGTCTTAGCACTTCCTGCATGTGTGTGTTTTGCTGGGTTTACCTACCTTATTGACAGGGAAGGGGAGAGGGGGAAGGAGAGAAAGAGGAAAACCGTTTTTGTTTGTTGTTTGTTTGTTTTTTACTTCACCTCAGGCCTAGTGAAAAGCTTCGTTACTGCTATTTTTGGTTATCCTATGTCACTCGTCAGGGGCACCTTCTTTCCATGCCCCAAGGAAAATACAGTATAATTTTCCCCAAATGGTTCCAAATACTAGTGTCCCCAGGGAACTGACCTCAGTAACCAAAAGAACTGAGTATCAAAACCATAGAGTAGGTCAAGGCTGTCTTAGTCGCCGTCCTTGAGAGGGCGCTGCTCCCAAGTCAAATCCCCAGAGCTGGGAAAGAAATGCCTGCGCTTTCCCACAGGACTCTGGCAGCAGCATTTTGCGGCTAGAGTCCGCGCGGCCGCAGAACGCCTGCCCACAGACATGGCGGCGCCCTGTTTGGCTTCGCGTCGCCCTGACCGTGGGGCCGGCCGGGCTTTGCCAGTTCTCGGGGACTTCCTGCACGTCTGGCATTTAAACGCGAGCCGGGGGCGGCGGGATGCTGCTGCGGTTGCGGAGCTCTGTGCGCCGCTGCCTACTCCGAGCAGCCTGGGCACCGCAGCAGCGGAGCTCGAGCATCCTTTAGCCACCTATCTGGGGGAGACACAGAACTCACGCTTCGGCTTCCCTCCCGGCAGGTTCGTCTTTAATTTCCAAGGTTGCAGTTCTCTTGACACAATCCGCAGCATCCTTCTCTCCAACCCGGCTGTGGATGAACCTGGGGCTGGACTGGATCCAGAAGCTGGGGCAGCCCGGGCCATGGTGCGTCTGAGCCCTGAGCTCTGGTAAGGAAGCAGTGGCTGCGTTGTTCGAGCTAGGCGGGTGCCACTCCCGGGAACCTTCTCCCAGCTGCCACAATGTTCAGCTGGCTGGGTAACGATGATCGCCGCAAAAAGGACCCTGAGGTCTTCCAGACAGTGAGCGAGGGGCTCAAGAAACTCTACAAGACCAAGCTGCTGCCTCTGGAAGAGTATTACCGCTTCCATGAGTTCCACTCGCCCGCCCTGGAGGATGCTGATTTCGACAACAAGCCCATGGTCTTGTTGGTGGGCCAGTACTCTACCGGCAAGACCACCTTCATCAGGTGAGCCGCATCTGGGTGCTGAGCCTTCCGGGTGACGGGTGACATGGAAAGTCTTCCATGAAGGGCTCTGAAGAAATCTCAGTGGGAGGCCTCAAAAGTTGACCCTGCTGCCAAGTCCCCCATTGAATCCTACATGATATCCTCCTCAGTTCTTAGCCTTGGTCGTTTTGAAGCATTCAAATTAAGAATCAGCCCTGTTGTCTGATTTGGGCACTGTGAAACTGAGGCACAGAAGGAACCAGACATCTTATGAAGGTGGGGTATCATAACCCTCCCTTTGACTAGGACCTCTGTATTGTCTTGGGAAGGGCTCAGGATTACCCAGGGGAGCCTTACCTTTGCAGCTGAGTTCTTCTCCTGGTCGCAGGCTTGGGAATGGGGGTGAACTGGAGACTCTGGGGTCTCTTGCTCTTTTATAATTTTTCCTTCTCTCTGACAGCGCTTTTAGGTCTGTCTCTTACAAAAGAGAAGCAGGATACTTTTAATAGGTTTCTTTCTTTGATCTTAATAGTTTAATAATAATATTAAAGCTCACAGAAGTAGAGGAGATTCATCTGAGGTGCCTCATCCGGCCCTTGACTCTGCAGGTGAGATAGCAGAGGTGATGAGAGGGTAAGTGATGGTTCAGGGCCTCTCGAGATGGAAGCAGCCCTAGGTGCGTGTAAAAAACATTAGTGCCTGTAACTTTAACAACGAGTCTTCCATTCCATTGAGTGATAGAATTTGAGGGGTGCAAGCATTCAGGGAGAGTCAGAAACATTCCTATCTCTGAAGAACAGGCCTCCCGCCATCTTCAATGTGTACAGTCTGCCAGGCCAAGCTGCCTTTTTTAAAGGTTGAGGAGTATACACATTCCGAAGGTTAGGGACTGCTTATGGCCCCTTGGGCTGAAAGTCACACTCGTACAGGTGCCATATCCTCCCAGAGTCAAGGGTACCCATCTGCAGCGGGTTTGAAAGCAGCAGTCCTCATATTTCTGGGTTGGCATCTGTGACATACAAAGCCATGTGCTTTGCTTGGTAAGGAGAGCAGCCTGGTGGCAGCCTGGTGACTCATTTTCCAGTTTCCCATGTCTCCAGTGCTCAGCTTCTGGGAGCTGTGTGTATACCATGCTAACCTGTCCTGTCTGAACACAGTACCAAGTCATTTGTCTTTGTGGCGTGGACATTCTTGGGCTGTCAGCTTGACCTGCATCTTTGCAAGGTCAAGTGATTTCTGAAGTGGGGACCTGGGGGTAATGGCTTATTGACTTTAATATATTTTAAGGATGAGAGATAAATCCATTGTTTTTCTTTTTTCACTTTATTTTTAAAAATCTGAATCACTTTTCTTTTAAAAAAGAAAATAATGAAAGCTATAAAGCTCTCTTTAGAAAACTACATGTGTACCCAAAGTTTACCTGTAGTGTTGAGTGGATTTAACTGGGAACACAGAGGGAGAATCTTGGATTCAAAATTAGCCATTAATTTTATAAAACACCAATTGATGCCAAACGTGCTCCAGAGATACCTGGGTTGTGAACACAAGTCCCTTTGTATGGCTGTTCTCCACCCTATTGGGTTTATGCCTCGTGGGAAGTGTAGGCAATCTGCAAACTGCTCTTGGCTTCGCACAGCCTGCCCTGACCCTCTGATCATCCTTGGTCATGACCCTGAGGACATTAAACTATTGGAACATCTCCTTCCCACAGCAAAGGCACTTTAGTAGTTCTGAGCATCTCCAGGGACTAAGCTCCGGGGAGTTCCCAGCAGCCATCTTTCAAAACGGGAGGGAAGAAAGGCAAGTGTGTTTTAAGAGCAGGGTCCCCGAGCAACAGAAAGGTTTAAGTGCCTTTGTATGGGATGCCCTCTGGATTTTGCCTGAGTCACCACAGACTGTTACTAGATCTAAGAAAGTGGCCGAGTGAGGTGCCCCACATTATCCCTTATCTGAGGGAGGCAGATCCCTTTTCTTGCTTATCCTCCTAGTCTGAGGGGGCCCCCTTCCTGCTCATAACAATAACTGAATTTAGCTCATACACCCCAAACTGTTTCCCTTCTAGAAAGAGGGCAAGAATGGAGAGAATCATCTAAAACAAGGAAGACTATAACACAAGGGTTTCCAAAACCAAACTGTACATTTTTCTTTCCTCATTAAATCCAACAGTTTCATTTATTGTTAGAAAGTGAAGAATAGAATAAGCTTGAAAAAAGAGACAAAACTGTCCATAATCTATAACTCAGGAAAAAGAAAACATTTAAAATAGTATGTTTACCTTTTCTGTCCTTACAGCTGTCTTATACTCTAGTGAGGTCATACCATGAATGGAATTTCATAAGCTAGACTTTTTAGTTATAGTGTGAATATGCCTCACATAACCATCATTTTTATCAGCTATATAATATTTCACTTGAGCTAGATACACTCTGTTCCTTAATTAGCTGCTACTTTCGAGTGCTGCTGATGGTTCCTGATTTGTTTGCTGCTGCAAGATTACTCTGAATAGCATATTCTCCACAGATTGGTCTTGTTTTTTTCAGAGATTACAAGAAGCTTAGAAAAAAGGGCCAAAGGTTATGCAGCATTTTTCATAAATATTTAATTTTTTTAAAAAAGTTTCTCTATTGAGTCACATTCTGGAATTGTCTTCCAAGATGGTAGCACACACAACTATCACTTTCCCCTGAGTGTGTGCACCCTTGTCTGGCTCTTAGCCTTCCCATCTCTGTCTGAGGCCTGAGCCTGGGAAGAACCTTTCCCCTCCAGGACTTGCCCCTTGAGTCCTTCATTATTGGCTTTTTGTCTCCTGAGTGTCCATCCACTTTCTGCTCTGCGTGTTTGCCATGAAATCTATTTCTTGTCTTGGGAAGAACACACAGAAAGGACATTCTTGTAATAACTAATTGACGTGCTGTGATCTCTGCCTGAAATAACTTCCCTGGCCTAAGGCCCAGCAACCCAGAGTAATAAAATAAACAATAAATTGGTCTGTGGGCTGCTCCCTCCAACACAGTCTGTCTTTTTGGAGCACAGTAGCTCTGTGTCACTGGCGGTCTCCTTCCGCCTCTGCTATTTCTCTTGCTGGCCTGAAGCTTTAAGCCCCTCCTTCTTTGGACCTGTTGGACTCCTGGCCACCTTTTCTTGCTATTTATTTTCTGGGCCTCCTCTCTCTGCTGGCAGACAGGAGAAAGGAGGTAGAGGTAGGCAGGAACTAGTCTAGGTACCAGCTCTTACTGTGGTCTCCTTGGGCTTTGCTTGGGCTGAAGAGGAGAGGTCTGAGGTTCAGAGCCCCCACTAGAATGTCTGGGTTGATCCTGAGCCTCTTCTGTAGTAAGCCTTGGACCACTGGGATGCTGGGTGTTCCAGAGTGAGCCCAACTTAGCTGGCTCTTTGAACTGTTCACATTTCTTCTAGGACTCTGCAGCCTCCACCAAAGGTGACTGATGTAGTGTTTCCTGTGTTTGCTGCATCTGTTATCATTTCCAGGGTGGATAGGATGGGGTCCCAGGGATGGGAACCCAGATCTTACCCTGGTCTTCAGTATGAGATTACCTCATAAAAGATGATTTTCATGGAAACCAAAGGCAGAGAGTTCACCATCTTGGGAAAACCCACTCTTCTGTGGACTTAACTCTGCCTGCAACAGTACCTAGACTACTTCAAGGCTCTGCTATCAGGAGTCAAAGGGTGTTCTTTTATTGTCTTGGGTCAGAGTCTGTTGGGTTCAAAGTGGAGCTGGGTAAATATTCAGTTGCTTTTAACCAAGGCTCATTGGTTACTGAAGGGAGAAACAAACTTCAGACTAGAGGAGCTATATCTGCCTGCCTCAGGTCCAGTTGAGGAATCACCTTGAAGCCAGGCATCTGGAAGTCAGTAGAGACAACAGTAGAGACAGGTTTGCATTGTAACCACTCCCATTGGCTGTGGGACAAAGGCTGTAACCCAGGCTAGGTCAGTAAAACCTGGCTTCCCTACTTTTTAGTCAAGAGGCTGACAAGGAAGGATAAGGGAGGTTACACTTCCATTTCTCTCTGATCTTGTTTCTTTATCCATACCATGTGAATCCTAGTAACCACTTCCTTGGAACAGGAGAGTTCAGAACCAATTCTGAACCATTTAGTTCCAGGTACCAATGGGGTGGTGGGTATCAATCCCTTCCTTCTTTCTAGTTAAGGATGGTGCTAAGGAGGTAGAGCTTGGTGAAGGTAAGGGCATGCTGGCTCTCTGTACTACAGAAGGGCAGAGGAGGAACTGATGCTGGGGTAACTAGTGTCCCAGATGGATGGGCCTGTCATGGGGTAGAGCCAGCAAGGGAATGCTAAGACCAGCCAATCCCAGTTCTAAACTGTTCTACTGCAAGTACTTCTTCCCATAGCAGAGGGTCCTTGAACAAGGTACCGTGGCAAGTTTTCCTGGGGCATGGAGCTGACTTCTTAACCTAGCTACAGTCTTTCATCTACTTTATGTCTCTGTGTGTATGTTACTTTCTCCCTAAAACTAAGTCAGGCTGATGGGGCAAGAGTTATCCTGACTTTATTTTAAAGTAGAAGGACCCATGGCTGAGGGATTCAAAGATAAAGATACATAATACAAAGACCCATAATACAGGACAACTGTGCTTTTCGAAGGCGCTTAAACTACCTACAGAGGAAGAGCTGTAAGATCCACTGTTACAGGAGAGAGAGAAGACTGTATGTGCTTTGTGGGTGAGGTAGGGGATGAATCTGTTAAGACTTCATGGAGGACACATGTGAACTGGGTTTAGAGATGGGTGGGAATGGGCCGAGTACCTGCAGGCAACCCTGAAGGGTTCATTTTCTCTAATTATTGTTTGTGTGATTGTGGGAAAAGTCTGATACAGGCCTTGCTTTCTCAAAAATCTTGTGTATTACCTCAAACAGTTTAACTTTTTAGCTGTCATAGTTAGAAACCAGGTGTTTCCCTGTTTTACCAGCCTGGGAGGAGGCCATTCTTTTAAAATGTTCAGTTACTTAGGTATTTAATTAATGTGTCCATGCTTG